GCTGTGTACAGGGGGACGATCACCTCCCTCGACCTGCTGGAGATGCTCTCCTTAATGCACCCCAGGATCCCGTTGGCCTTCTTGGCCACCAGGGCAYACTGCTGCCTCATGGTCAACTTGTCATCCACCACAACTCCCAGGTCCCTCTCAACAGAGCCCCCCACCAGCTAGTGGGRAATGATGAGGGCCACCTCAGCGAGAGGGGTACACGTGAGATCAACAAAGAGCTTTTAGCTCCTTCTACTTTYGTCATTTGTACATTTGGAGTATTTTTCAATGGACTTGAAATTAACTGAGTAATGTCCTGCACTATTTATATTATGATTTAGATTCTTTTAGAGACTCAGCTGTTAGAAGTCTTTTTGGCACCAGATAGGTCTTAAAATTACCTAAAAAAAAAAGGGATTGGGATATAAGATTGATAGGATATTTTAGTTACTTGGGCACACACATACACACACAAAAAAAAGTAATTTGCTGGACAAAGTAAATTTGTTTTCACTCCAGATGTATCCTTTTTTTTCCTGTCAACACATATCTATATAGTTCTACAGTTATATAGTTCTACAGCTGTATAGCTCTACAGTTATATAGCTGCAGTTACATATTTACTATATATTTTTCTCTAGGCTAACAACAACGCTGCTGTTTGCCTTCTTTATCTGGGAAAACTGAAGGATTCGCTCCGGCAGCTGGAAGGAATGGTCCAGCAGGACCCCCAGCACTACCTGCACGAGAGCGTGCTCTTCAACTTGACCACCATGTATGAGCTGGAGTCGTCGCGCAGCATGCAGAAGAAGCAGGCCCTCCTGGAGGCCGTGGCCCTCAAAGAGGGCGACAGCTTTAACACGCAGTGTCTCAAGCTGGGATAGATCATTTCCAACTATTGTTTTCCAGCGAAGTTCATTTTTAAATCTGTATATACTCTTGCCAGTGTGTAAATGTGAAATAAAATCTCTTCAATTCTGAATATTTGGTTCTGTTACTACAGAAGCTCTGTTGTCTCTAGCAGTCCTGAGCACCAATGTGTAGATTTTGTGCTGACCTATAGCCAGCTTCATCCCTGCAAGTCTATGTCTGTCTGTTGGTTATGCCTCTTTACAGGATACACAAACAGGCAATTACTSTCATTCGTTTTAAATTGCATTTGACCGACTTTGTCTTGATGATTGCTATAATCTTTCAGTAATTCGTGAGTAAAAGCTACAAGCTAATTTCATCAGATAGCTAGAAGTTATTGATGGGCTATCAGTGTGTGTGTTACAGGAATGAAGCTCTGAGTGCCCATGTCTTCAGCTGCTGTGACTGTGCGCTCATTTACCCACATCAAAATATTTAGTACCTTTGTGTATTCAGCTATTGAAGGGAGCAAGTGGCAAGAATTAATCGAGTATTTAACATCTTATGCTCTCAAGTGAAGCCAGCCCCCATGCTGTGAGGCCTCTGTCATCTGCCTGAAACCRAGGGGAATCCCAGCACTTTTTTGGTGCTGTGATGCCACTAAATCTTTCGGATTAAAACATTTGGGCTGTGTAAGGCAGAGGATAACAGTGGAGGGTTTATCTGTATTCCTGTACTAATCCTTCCTTTCTTCATTACTATTTTCCTCTCTCCCACCCTCTAGCCAGTCTGATGTCACCGGACCGAGGATTATTTCCCACCTTGGTGGCAGACCCCTCGCTTTCATACACAGACATGTGTATTTTAGTTCCTAAATCACCTTCCTCACGCCTGTGGCAGCGTCCCTGCTGGTGCAGACGGATGTTCCTGCTCCTTGTGGCACGTTGCTCGCTAGAGAAGGGAGCCAGGGAGAAAGCTGAACATGTCCAGGATTGAGGGTGCCTAAAAACTGCTGGTGGCTCTGAAAGTCTTAAGCCTAGAGCTTCTCCTACGCAGAGACAGAATTTGATCCATTCCTACAGAATACAGGATATATTCTATATTCGTTCTGTATGTTATACTTGTATACTGAAACAGTGGATTGGTATGTACCCATCAACTGAAAAAAGAAGTATTTCTGTGGCTTGGCGTCCAGATGCCGTAGCTGAATCTGAGTTAAACTTGTGCAAGAAAAGCAACCATACGAGCAGGCTTGTCCTCAGGTACCACTGCTGATCGGTGACAAATGAAAGATTCAGCACCACCTGCTTCAAGTGGCTTCAACAGCTCATGCATATCTTTAATGAGTATTTAAGTACCGTGAAATAAAAGTAGTTCCTTTTAGTAATTTGTTTTACCATTTATGAGCTTTTATAGTTCTTTTAATATTGCTGTAATTTGAGATTAGGTGTAACAGTCATTGGACAAATTCTTGGGTTCCTTTAGTTGTCATAACTCATTTGAAATCAGTGTATTTTTTTAGATTTGATCCAGTATGACCAGTTTAGCATTATACTTTCTCCAAAACAGCTCACCTTTCTTGTGCTTGGGATTTCTTARGGATAGGGAGAAGCCCTGCTATGTAACCACTGCCACGGTGTGGAAAAGCTTGAGAACATTTTACAGTGATGTGTAAATTAATACAACAAAAAAGAGACTCCTGCGCAGTTTCCTTAAGGTCGGATGTTGTGTTACGTTGTTACCTGATTATTCACCTCTACAACTACAGGCTACACCTTTAGGAAGGCTGATTTGTCTTTTTTTAATCCTAAATAACAATCGTGTGATTTGCTGTCATCCAGCATGCTGAAAGCTCTATGCAATCCAAAAGGAAAATGCCTCGTATATTCTGCCTTATACTCGCTTAATGTGTAAATGACAGCCTCTGATCTGGTCAAAAAAGAGGAGAAATTTGTGATCCTACTCAGAGTCAAGAAACCATTAAAAAAAMCCTGAAAACATAATCCCCTGGTCTGCAAGTTTTTGCAAATTCTAATTCATATGTATTGCTGCATAGGTCTCGTTTCAGTGTGTTTGCTGCATTCTTATTAGTAGCAGCTTTTACGCAGAMAAAAACTCCAGTAGAGGAGGCTTGCACCGGGTGACCTCCAAGCTCACTGAGCCATTAAACAAGTGACATCCTGGTAGACTTGCAGAATAATTAAAATTTAAATGCAAAGGCATATCATCACTGCTGGATTTATGCAAATTGTTAACTGTTTATAAAAGGCAGGGAATAGTGGCAATGGCACTTCAGCACTTTATGGTTTAGATTTAACATATATACAAGCTAAGTGCTTGAATTTCCTGTACTCTGCCAGTTATACATCTAAATGCATACATTTAGATGTATACATCTAAATGGAGTTAAAGCATTACAGCTAAGGGCAAATTTTGCCCTGGAAGCATTAATTATGCCAGGCAATGCTGTTAAATTCAATGAATTCAATGGAATTTAATGAGGGTTCCTGGTGTAAATGAGGGCAGCGCTGGGTTCTACAACACAGCGTGCGAGTGTCATCTGGCTGTGACGGAGCCGTGCGACGCAGAGCCCGAACGAGCTGCTGCTTGTGTGCAGGTCTTAAAGCTTAATGTGCCTGAACAGAAGTTTTGCATTTAAATTTCCTTTTTTTATTAAAAGAGAAGCAAATAAGCTCTGCTTCAGACATTCAAATAATTACCTTATGCATGGAGAGCCAGATCCTCAAAAGGAATGAGGCCTCAAACTGCCGTTTCCAGTACCGGCCTCCTAATTTTAGGTGACACCRGTGTCCTCCAACCAGCTGGTCACTGACATTTTCACAGTGCTTCAGTTTTTGAACTGGGGCTCTTAAATGCTCCCCAGGAGGCACGTGCAGGCATTTTATGCAGACGTATCTCCAGTTGTATTTAGTAATGGTAATAAACTTACCTTCCCTCTCAGACTTGCACTCCRTCTAAGCTATAAATGAAAACAGGGCTGAAGCATCATGTAAGGATCTCGATTTATTCCATGTAGGCAGAAACAGCAGCCTAGGCTGCTGCTGTGTTGAGCACAAGCCAGGGAAACTCCAACATTGCTAGAACAAGGCTATTTTTATCCGTAAGTTCACACCTACATTACGAGCTCCAAGGATGCTGCTACCTTCCTTTTCCACCTTGATTTCTACATTAATAAAACATTAGGAAAAAAATGTATTCTCCTAATGAGGTATTTCACAGTACAGGGACCTGCGTGGAGCTTTCAGCAGATGAGCAGCAGCCGGGCAGTGCTGAAGGCAAACGAGCTCCAGCAGCAGCTTCCAGGTGGGAGCAGGAGGCGGCTTTCCAAGGCAGCTGGGCACCTGCAAAGGGCGGGTGAGATGGTCCCAGGCTCAGGGTCAGGGAAGAACAGAAGATGGCGGGTGGGGAGGGGGTCCGGGTGCTGCCTTGTCCCGGTTGCACCGGATCAACAGCCGATCCTGTCCTGGCGCTGGGTGTTTTTTTGCAGATAGCTCCTCATTAGGTACTAGTGCACTTGCCATGGTGTAAATCCCCTGCTCAGCTACCAGGCGGATTCCTCAACGTCGCTCAGCTGCCTCCCTACGCTTACATGCCTTGGGGAGCATTAAATGGCTGCCTTGGGGAGCATTAAATGGCTGCCTTGGGGAGCATTAAATGGCTGTCTTGGGGAGCATTAAATGGCTGCCTTGGGGAGCATTAAATGGCTGTCTTGAGGAGTATTAAATGGCTGCCTTGGGGAGCATTAAATGGCTGCCTTGGTCTCAAAACGGTCCTGTTGTCCAGCGAGGTTGCAGCTGAGGGCAAATGGAGGAGCCGAGGCCCAAGGAGGTGAGCGCCAGTCCCGAGTGCCCGTGCTGCCACTGGGAGCTGCCGACGCCATCCCCGGGGTTTGGCACCGAGGGGGCCCAGTCCTCCGGCATGGCCCACGAGCGGGAGGCCACATCTGAGGACACCATGTCGAGCAGCCCTCCAGAGAGAGGCTTTTCCTTCTGCCCTGCTCCCAGCAGGGCCATGGCCWGTGCTCACCTCAGCCAGCTGCTGTTTCTTGCCATGAAGACACCTATGGATGCTCTCATACGGACAACAAATTTCAGATGTTTCTTCACAGGGATAAAAACAGCCCTTTGGGACACAGCTGTGTAGCACGGCAAGCACTCTGCCTTTTTTTTTCCCCCGCTCTCTATTTCACTTGAGTTGCCTGCTTAGCTCCAGGACTGTTCCCTGCTCTGCTTTGCCTTACATGAGGAGCCAGGGCCCCAGCTCAAGGCTGCTGTGAGGGCAGGAATGGCAGCCTGCAGGGAAACACCAGCGCCTTGGGCCTCCAGAGCTGGGGTYTTTGCCATGCTCTATAGCATAACGTATAAGCTCCCCAGATGACCCACAAAGGCCACCCAAACCCGTGCACAATGGGCACTGCACCCGAGGTTCCCTCAAGGAGGGATTCCTTGCACCAAGGCCCCGGTGCATGTTCCTGCCTCTCCTCGGCAGCTGCCCTCCCCGTGGGCTGCAGGCCGCTACAACATCAGCTAAGGGTAGCCCCTGGGAGCACATCCCAGAACCTAAGAGCCCTTTAGKGAAGGGAGAGTCAGGAAAATCACTGGGATTGCAGAGCCCAGACAGGGTAGTCTCTGGCCATTGGCAGCACCCTGGCGTTCAGGAGACCGAAATTAGCCTGAGAGTCACTTGCTGTGAGGAGGGATCGAGCATGGATAGCACAGGGCTCCCCCCCACTGTGCCCTCCTGAGCGGTGCTCGGAAGCAGGCGCACGGCCAGGACAGATATTCCGAATGAGGGTTTATTGTTTGAGAGACAGGTCTGGCAGAAGGCTGGACTAGATGAGCAAGGTGTGTAGGTCTGTTCAATGTTCTGGAAATTTCCAAAGTCCCGGAGCAAACAAGACGCCCCACACGTCTAAAGGAGGCCTGTGTTTATACCCCTCTGCCTAGTAGGAGCGAGGGAAGGAAGTGTCTGTGCAGCTGAGGGTGAGACAACCCTTTCCATCAGCATTTCCTCGCAGGGAGCCCCAGATCTCACTTAGAGGCACTTATTTACTCCCTGCACACTAGGGAGTAAGTGATGTACTCCCTAGTATGCCTGCTTGCCTGATGTAGTGGTTATTAGTTCTGTTCCCTGGTTGTGAAATGGCTTAGTGTTAAAATATCCAGCTTCTCTGAGTGACCTCTCCTTGAGGGATACCTGCCCCAGAGCAGGGAACACATAAAGACAAGGAGGGCAGGGACAAGGAGGGAAGGGTCAGGGATTTTGTCAGCCCTCCCTGCTCACCTAACTTCAGCAAATGCCCACGGAGCATCCAGACAAGCTGCAGACAAATCCACAATCTCTCAARCTGGTCACAGGAAACACATCTATGTGTCACTTCTATGTGCTAGGAAAAAATTGGTTAATGTGAGAAGTGATATATAGATACTAAAAAGCTGTCTTCGAACCACGTGACTCAACACCATGAAAACCTAATTCTAGGAGGGTTCGAAGAATTCCCGCTATCTGGGTTAAAGCTGACAACATGGTGTTTCTGGTGTTGCTTATATAAATTTAAATATTTCATGAATGCACCAAGACTTCTACTAGCTGCAGTAAAACAGGCTCATGTTTTTGAAATAACGACAACAAAAATTCACTTCTCACTTTCAGACCTGTGCAAAAACAAAACAAAACAAAAGGCAAAAAGTGGCAATGAAAATAAACTGCATTTTTCATCTGAAATAACWGTATGTTCTTGCTCCTTCCTCTCTATATTCAGAATAAATGTTTACTATTAATATTTTTCTGTCCATCAGTAACCTCCCATGCAAACTTCACAGCTGCAGAATCAGGGTACAGGCCCCAAATTGCCTTTGTCCCCAGCTGGCAAAAATACCTCCCGAGAGCGAAGCTTTCAGCCTGCCAAGGACACCCAGGGCGCAGAGGTGCTGTGTTTAAGAGGGCAGAGCCCGCGGCCGCCGCCACTTCGCAGCAGCAGAACGCATCGTGCCATGAAAGTGAGGAACGGTGCTCAGCGCTGCTGTCGTGTGTTACCCGTGACAGCCCAGGGATGGCTGCTGGGCCTGGCACGTATATTCCTCCTCCGAGACAACAAAACAAGGTGGCTCCGTTTTGTTTCTGAGGTCACACTGTTGAAAGCCATTGCTATGGACAGCTTCTTTACTATTTATCCCCTCATCTTCACCTCCACACTGTAAATCTCTCCAGAGGAGCCTTCATTACCTGCTCTCTCCTTCCAGTAGCTCCCGCCGTCTGCCAGGGGCTGACTGGGCCATAAATGCAGTTCTTAAGATCTCGCTCCGCTGCTTCCACTGCTCTCCTCTGCAGAGGGAGCAAGGAAGAGCAAATCAAGACAGAAAGGCCCATAAGAGGGATGAGGAGAAATAATCAGACTCCATCAACTCCTGTTGGAAAGGAAAATAAAGCAGGGAGATGAATTAGGCTGGATGCCAGGGACTAATACCAGCACTAGGGGACAGCAGTCTTTCTACTTTCCATTCTGCAGTACCACTTGCGGGGGGCATATAAGCCAGAGAAATAAATCTTCCACAGGCAAGATTATTCCTGCCGCTTTTCTTTGAAAAATCTCAGCAGTTCATGGCGGGAGGAGGATGCCCCAGTGCAAAGGAGGCTCAGGGAGCGCTGCCAGGACCAGGGAAACGCTGGCTCTGGCAGGAAAATTCTCCCATGCACAGAGGAAGCGCCGTGGGCAAGTTCAATCCATCTGATCGGCCCACTCCCTTATAAATATTTCCGTAAACCCCAACTTTTTCCRTAAACTCCAACTTCTTCCAAGGTCCAGGTTCGTTTTGAGAGCTGCAAAATAGGAGTTGGTATTTACTGCATGGAGCTTAAGCTGCCACGCAAGCTCTAGTCAGGAGAGAATCTCTGTTCTCCTCACACATTAGAAGTTGGAGGGAGTGACCATGTATGTGCCCCGCTGACATATAGTGTCAGTGCAAAAAGCAAATTCATGGTCCAAACCCCCATTCCTGTGTCCTGTGCCAAGGGGTAGCACATACTGTGTAACTGAGCCAGCAAACCGAGGTCTRCCTACCTCTATTTTAAAGTTTAGAAACTGAGGCACTGTAAATGCTTTGTCCAGTGTTATAGAATCCTTAGGGTTAGAAGGGACCTCTAGAGATCATCGAGTCCAACCCCCCCTGCWCACACAGGGTCACCTAGAGCACGTGGCACAGGGCTGCGTCAAAGCAGGTTTGGAAGATCTCCAGAGAMGGAGACTCCACAACCTCTCTGGGCAGCCTGTTCCAGGGCTCTGTCACCTTCACTGTTAAGACATTTTTCCTTAAGTTCCTGTGGAACTTTTGGTGCYTCAGTTTGYGGCCGTTCCCTCTAGTCCTATCGCTGGCCACCACTGAAAAGAGGCCGGCCCCTCCTCCTCACTGCCTCCCTTGAGGTATTTATAGACACTGATCAGGTCCCCCCTCAGCCTCCTCTTCTCCAGGCTGAACAGGCCCAAAATAAACAAGTATTGGAAAAAGGAGTAAAAGCTTAAAAGATGATTAACAATTACAGCAATACTGCTGTTGAACATGTCCTTAATGTTAGGACAAGGGAAAAATAACACACACACACACGTACATAAGATGAAGTAATTTTATTAATAACTCAAGAGAGCAAATTTCCACATTTTACTGCAAGAACACCAGTTTTGCAGATCAGGGCAGAATCAGGGAAGCTGCACACTAAAATACCCAGTATGCAAATTTGTCTTGTGAACATTTTTAGACAAAAATGAAGGAGAGTTTATTTTCTTTAATTAAAACAAGAGTCCTGCGTACTTCATTAGCATGGATTCAGAGCAGAATGAATATTAATATAGCCCATCTCTCCCCATTTTACCTGCCAGAAATATCAAGAAAGAAAAATAAAAGGATAAAAAATGGATTCTTAAGCAAGTGTAAACACAACTGGCTAATGTAAGGCTGCTAGGATCTTTGAAAGGTCACAGTGATGAGGAAACATCTGAGTAACTGCAAAAAAGGCAAATGTTAAATTGTCAAGAACGGCAAAAAGAGGAACCCCAGGCTGGTCAGTCCTGCTTTTACCTTGCCTGTAGTGAGGCTTTGGAGAGCCCCAGAACAGCCTTCTAGCCAGGCTGGAGTCAACTCCAAAAGGATGAAAAACTGCTAGTTTTCACTCATCAAGCTGCTAATTAGTCAGTGGTTCAAGTCTAGCTCTAACCTGGTTATGAGCAGCGTTCCTCAGGGATCAAAAATGGGACCAATAACATCTCCATTAGCTAAACTGGAGATAGTTCAGGTAAGGATTTGTCTGGCCTGGAGAGGAGAGGCAAGAAGGGACCGAAGTGCAGTCTCCTTCTCGAGGAAATGAGGACACAGAGTCTCTTCTCAGGCATTCAGTGAAAGGGCAAGAGGCAGCAACCACAGGTTGCAGCAAGGGAGTTCACATTGGGCATGAGGAAAATAAACCTTGCCTTTGGTTAAGCACCAAAGTGGGTGTCCAGAGAAGCTGTGCAATCTGCACAACCAGAGGCTTTCAAAACTCAACTAGACAAGGCCTTGAGGAACCTGCTCAAACTTGGAAGTTGCCCCTACACTGAGCAGATGATTGGACTAGATGATCTCCATGTGATTTTTCAACCTAATTTTTTCTCTGATTCTGCATTGCTATGATTCAGTATATGCAAGTGCAAACAGTGAAAAAAACCACCATTTACATTTATTCCGATAGAGCTTCAGGCTGTTGCCCTTCTCAGCTCTCAGAGACCATTACTGTGCTTCTTCAGCCAAGAACTTCATGTACTGCTTCCGAGCAGGAAAATGATCGGCTGGCCGGTTGTAGGCTGTCCAGACTGGCTCTCCAACAAACAGCCTCATGGCCTTCACGTAATCCTGTCAAACAACAAGAAGTCACAAGTAACACAAGAGCTCCCTCCTGCAGGATCTCAGCTCTGAGKTTTGGGGTCTCATTTGCGCCTCTGTAGCAGCTCTCCAAAGCCTTTCAGGGYAGCCTGACAGCTCCACGTGCTCCAGCGACCTGCCCCTCTGTGCTGCTCTCCAGCTCCTGGCTGCTGCACGGGGAGATGCTGCAACCAAGCTGTGTGCGCCGAGCACAGAGCCTCCCGGCCGGGCAAGGACAGTGCCTCTCCTCCAAAGCAAAACAAGAGCTTTATGCTAAGTTTTTTGCACTATGTATTGTGCAATATATATATTTTACTTATATTATATATATATTGCACCATACAAAAGTATACAAAATAAAAGTATATTTATATACCATATTTTAGATATACATATATATATCTATATTTATGTATAGATATATCACTATATCCACCACGTTGAGCAATGAGGAATCTAATTCCTTGTTGCTTAGTTATGCAATTGCTTAGTTATGCAATGACATTTACACTATTCAAGCCAATTCAGTGCTTGAAGCCACAGAGCAGGAGCTATAGAGCCCAAATAGGAAATGCAGGAACCAACCACCAAATCCTGCTGCAGACAGGGACGGGTCTTCAGACTTCCAAAGGAAGCAGTCAGAGCCCCTCCTGCTGGCTAATCTGGTCAGACAGTGCCCAGCTGTGGAAGCAGAGAAGGGAATTTTACATCCCGGAGAAGTCTTCTACCTACCGACTTGTGGGGAGGTCTCTTCTCTTCTGTTAACTACACTGCAAATTTAGGTCCTACTGGCTTTGTGAACAGTCCTATGCACTGATTTTGCACTACGTATTTTGCAATGCCAAGAATAAAGTCAGGCACCTAAATAAAGTAGCTGGAAGTACATAAAGAACTTAAGCAGGAACTTGCAGGCAACAATTCTGAATTGGAGTCCAAAGTCCCCTAAGAAGAGATTTAAGGCATCTTGTTGAGGTCACAATTCCTATCATTACCCAACTCTCACCCCATATCCCCTTATATTTTCTCCACATAAAGAGAAAGCCTTAGAAATAGCAACTGCAGCTGATTCACTGTGAGTCTCTAAGAGTGGGTATTAAAAGACAGGGTCTCCATTTCTCCATACACATACACTGCACCCAAAGGGGTTGTGCTGCACCCAGTGGGGTTGTACTGCCTTACAGCAGGGTTGTGCTGCACCCAATGGGGTTGTGCTGCCCCACAGCAGGGTTGTGCTGCGCCCAATGGGGTTGTGCTGCCCCACAGCAGGGTTGTGCTGCACCCAATGGGGTTGTGCTGCCCCACAGCAGGGTTGTGCTGCCCCACAGCAGGGTTGTGCTGCACCCAGTGGGGTTGTGCTGCCCCACGGCACCCCGCGCACCCTGCCCACCTCCCAGGGCTGGCTCATGGGCACAGAGCCCGACCACGTGTGTGATGCCCCAGCCCCACAGCCTCCCACAGCCGGGCACCTTCTGCAGGGGCAACGCTGGGCCCGGCACCTCCTAGCTCCAAGAACTCCAAGTGTTCTTCAAATTCCTTTTTCCTGTTTCATACAGTTTGCTAACGAAGACGTGCTAACTACACGTCTTGTGGCACACYGGGACAAATATGAAATATATTCACATGTATTTGTCATCAGAACTTACTGTGATCTCCAAATACCTACATTCTCATCCAGGGTGAATCGGTGATATATGCCAGCAGGGAGGGTTATCATATCTCCTTTTTCCATGAAAATCCGAATCCACTTGTCATCCTTGTCTCGAACATCAAAATAGCCAGATCCATCTAAGATGTAGCGAATTTCGTCATCTAAGTGCAAATGTTCTTCATAAAATGTTTTTATCTACGGATAGTAAACGTCTCTTAAAATTGCTGAAGGCAAAAAAGCTGCAAAGAAATCTCATAGAAACATTTGACTGCATAGTCGTTTAAGTAGGTGATGTTAATGTTCAGTTAAAGTGGGCAATGTGGTCAGACCCAAGACCAGATGCAGCCCCAGGACACTTCTAGCCATACTGCCCTACCTTCTCTGGGGGGTGTCACTGACAAGAAGCAAGGACTGGCTACACACAAGTGCCCTCTGAGTCGTGGCAATGCTCAAACCCACTGGAGGGAGGGGAGGGCAAAGCTTCCCGACCCTGGATTTGGTCTCTGCAGTTAAGTTTGACCATTCTGTGCCCTTTTTCTCCTGAAATTTAAAAATATGATAGAGGAAAAGCTCTTTTTTTAATGCTTGTTGAAGGTCAAGCTGGCTCCACAAGCTAACAAACCTCATTTTCTGTATCAAAAAATGAACTACTGCCAAACATGGCCCATCTCTGGCATTTTGTAAACAGTATATGATCCATACATCAACCATTAATATTCCAAGCCCAGCAACACACTCTCCTGCAATGACCAACTCTTTGAAGGCCTATTTTCATATTAGATAGAAGCCATTCAGGTAACCTTATCAAAAATTGTCAAAAATTTTAAACCAGAAAAAATACAATGAGATTGGAAGAGAAAAAAAAAAAAAAAAAAAAAAAAAAAAAGGATAAAAAAAGACTAAAAAAAAAAGGAAATTGCTAAGGGAATGTGTTCCCCATATGTAAATTTACATCCTTGATGTAAATCTGCATTTTTGCAAAGATGCCTCTTTTAAGCAGTCCGACTCTAAAGCATTCTTTGGCTAATGGATCTTTTCAGCCTTCAGCCTTTCAGCTGACAACACCTGCTGACCTTCACCCGGACGGGGTTCTCGGACAGGGCAGGATCCGTGGGGTTCTGCTGTAGCTTCAATGGGACACATAGTTAGGGAAACTACCCTAAAAGTCTCTGAAGGCAATCTACAAAAGCAAAAGGCCCATGCTCTCCTAWTTTAAAAATAATAACAAAACTGTCTTTTGAAAGATAAGGACATCAGCATGGGATGTATTTTAAATAGGGAAAAAAATCTTGTCTCTGAAGAGCAGGGCATAYGTGTATGTGTAAGAGGCTGGGTATAGTGTGTGTGCAAGAGGCTGGGTATACGTGCGTGTGCAAGAGGCTGGCTGCACACTGTAGTGGTTGACCTCAGAGCTCAAATCCTCCTCCCAAAGCAGCGACCTGGRTACCTTTTCTTCGTAATTCGGAAGCTTGTCTTTTTGTATAGTTATTATATCCATCCAAGAATAATTTTCTGCTTCCCGAATCTCTTTCAGACGTGGATCTGTCTCATAGTTATCAGCATCCAGCTAAAAACAGGCATAAAAAAAATGCATTTGGTGTTTATGACAATTCAAGAAACTAATGTGGAAAAGCTGCAGTTACCCCAAGTGTCAAGGGAGAGGCAAATGACCCAAAGGGACAGTTAGGGTCGCTCCCTATAGGTACACAGGCCTTGTGCCACCAGCTTCCAAGACAAAGTTCAGTTTGGGGTATTTAGTGCGTAAATACCTCAAACTGGATGTTATACATTCRTGACCCCAAGCGTGCTGGATATGAATCCTGCAGAGCTACTACCCGATTATCATGTAGTCTAACRAGAAAAATGAGGGGTGATACAAACTGGAGCTGTCAACATCAGCGTGGGCTTCTCGAAGGCCTTGCTGTTGCCGACGTTTAACCTGCCCCTTATGCACTGCTCCCATGCTCTATCACTCAAGAGACTGATTCATTACATTTAACTTTACATATATCCCATTATTACATCACATACATTATATTAACATACACCCAGAGCCCCTCATCTGGAAGCCCTTCCCGCTGCTGCCACATCCCGGTTTCCTGAGCTGGGGAACACCAGCAGAAATGTGGCGGCCGGGACCAGTCGCTTCCACTCCTGCTTTTTCACGTGGCAGGAGCAGCTTCCAAGGACACGGATTTATTCGGGGCAGGGGACAGCAGCCGCAATGAACACGGGAAAATTAGGAGTGACCCCCTGGGGACTCCAGCAGTTACTGCAGAACTTAATAAAGTTGTTCTGGACACAAGTAACTTTTTGCTGGGTGCTGGGGGCCACACGCCGAGGGCGGGAGCGCCGCTGGTACCCGAGGGCAGCACCAAAGGCTCCCTAAGGCCGCGTTACGGGCGCCGCTCGGCCGCACCGGAGCCCTCCCGCGGCCGGGCCCGCAGGCCCCGGGCGGTACCGGGCAGTACCTGTCGGTCCCGGGYGGTACCTGTCGGTAGCGCACGCCGAGGCGGCGCAGCTGCTCCAGGCCCACGGCGCGGTTGGGGCGCAGGCGGTGCGGGGCGCGCTGGTCGTCCGCACTCTCGTCCATGTACCAGGCCTGCACCATGGCGGCGGCCGCGGGGGCGGAGCGGGGCGGCGGGCGGCCCTGCGGCTTCTCCTCACGCTTTTCCGGCACTTTCAGCGGATTTATCCCTCTGCTCTGCCTCACGGACCACGTTCAGGCTGCTTTGAGCTTAGAGGGTTGTGCGAGAAACTGTACATGAGGCAACAGGGTTAGTTTTTAACGTTTAGGGCCAGACAGACAGACACCCAGTCTTGCCCCCTCATGGCTTCTTAGAAGTACTACCGATTATTACCCTAACGCCTCATGTTCRGTGCCTCAGCAGCGCTGGTTACCCGCTCTGAGCGTGCAGGCACACAGGCCACACTGGAGTCCTGCAGCGCAGCCGGACCCGCCTGCGGAACGGGAGGCGCCTCCGGAGCGCCCGGTCCCTTTGGTTTCCCAGGGCTCCCTTCAGCCCTGCTGAGAAACCCTTCCCTTTCCCTCCTTTAAACACTCCCCATTCCACAACTCTCGCCTTTCTTCTACTCCAAATACCCAGCACGGAGATGGTGAAGGTTTGTACAAGTTTCTTCTCCCAGCTTCCCAGTTTCCACATCCAGGAGTTCTGCAGGCGGTTCRGTTCCTAACCTGCCTTTAGGATTATCCCTCATTATCTACCACCTTTTTCAAAGCTACTGCTTTCCTGAACACAGGCCCACAGAGCTGCCACCTTCCTACCACACTGCTTAGCTCACTTGCACCCTTTGCTTTAGCTAGACATTTGATGAGAGAAGGCCGGATAGTTTCCTTCAAATCGGTTCTTAAAAAATAAAGTAGATGAAAGAGCAAAACATAACCACCAYGCTCCTTCCTATATTAGTTTTATAGTGCAGTTTTATACAGAAGACAAAAGCCGCTCACCCCTTAACTAGCAGCCACCCACTTTGCTATGTCCATTAATTCATGTGGCTCTGAATAGACAAGAGCACACACTCCTGCTCAAGAAAGCAACTGGAATACAAAGATAGAGAACTAGTAATAAATCAAGCTTCAGCTCTCCTATTAAAATAATAAAAAGTCTTCTAGCTTTAATACCACTAGAAAGTGTTATTAAATGCCTTACCAAAAAAAGTAGACAAAGGTTAACATGCCAGACTTGTTAACAATGACTAACTAGGTATCTATAAAAACAAAGCTGTCAGTAGTTCAAGCTGTTTGCTCTTCAAGCACACAGGAACCATTCCATTAATCCAATTTTGGACAGCAGAAACTGCATCGACCCTACACAGCAGATCTGCAGAAGCTGATCCAGCTCCTGGTTCCATTTCAGATAAAGCAGACCATGGGAGAACAGGGAAGGGCAATTCAGTACGGCTAACGGGAAGCAGGATACAGGAAAAAAAAACAAGTTATTGGAAAGATGAATAAAGAGCTTGGAAAGTTAAGCAGTCTCAGGAAAAGTAGTAAAAAAAAAAAAAAAAAGAAAAGAAAAAAAGTGTGTTCTAGTGCTTTTTTTTGTGACCACCCTTTTAGTTTGTTGGTGCTAGTTTGCARCATGATAGAAACACCTACAGGTGCCAGAACTGGAGATAGCGTGAGCCTCGTGTCAATGTGACGAGGCTACTTCTGAAGCTACTCCACGTTAACAGTTAACACGTTAACAGTTCCTGGGTCACTGATCTCTCCCTCCCCCACCCCCTGTATCCAGCCCCATCCACACTTTTTCTTGGGGCTATTAATGATACTTCCGTACAAAAAAATAATTTATTTCACAAAAAGGGAAATACAAAACACAAATCAGGATAACACTTTAATATTAATCTCATCAGAGGTCTCATATATAGTGAATTCAAGTCTATATGAGACAGCTAAAAAACATTGACAGCAGCGCTTCAGTAAGATGGGGGAAAAAGCCAAACTCTGTATGCCGTTACCTAAATACTGATTTGATGCTAAAACAAACGCAACAGAAAGAAAATACACGTTTTTTTTCATAAGTTGGTGTATGTTTAAAGCCACAGGCCACATAGAAATACAGTTCGAAGTTCAACTCAAACAATGACAACAGGTCGAATGGTGTTAGTCCTCTCCTCCGACTGCAACAGTCTCTAGCCCCGAYGTGTCACAATTTCTGTTTGCCTGCTCCTTCTCTTGCCAGTCTATCGGCTTCYTCATTTCCTCGGAATCCAGCATGACCAGGAATATGCATCTGTTAAAACAAGAGTCTAGCAGTGTTATACATACAAGAAACCAAGACAAAATGGGGGAAAAAAGCCACTTCATCGTATAGTGGGTAAGTGCTTCTTAGAGCAGCARTCTCCTCCCATTCACTCCTTAGGTGCCCTTCCCAGTGACACTTACAACCTTTCTGTAACTAAGAGAATAGCCGTGCCAAATTGTGAAGAGCTTCACGAGGAGTATGAACCAGGCGAGGAGCCACCTAACCCAGCCTCTGAGGGGAGAGCAGCGAGACTCAGACCCGCCGGCTCAAGAGCAGGTTCCCACTTGCAGTGGGGTGAGAGAGAAACCCTCTGCCTTCTGTGACCGAGACACAGACACCTCCGGGCCACCAGGACCAACAACAGCCCCTCAGGACACTATGGTTTACACATAATAATTTTGAGACTACAGCTTAGAGATGTCAAGATGCAAACAAGAAGAAAATACCCCTCACATCAAGGAAACTGCTACAGCACCCCCAAACCTTCTTTTTTTTTTTTCTTTTTTTTTTTTTTTTTTAATAAAAAAATCCCACTGCTATATCTGCTATAACCCAATACTACACCTAACAGTAGCGTTTCTGGTAATTTTCACCAAACCCCAAAACAGATGTTGACCATCTGGCCCTCAGACAGTGCGCACACAGTTCAGGCTAATGTCTTGCTGCATTTGATTGTTTTCTTTAATGGACAACGTTCCACCTGCTGATGCCCCTCCACCCACACAGCCTTCCTGGAGCACAGAGGAAGAACCACAGGGAGCACGTGACCAAAAAGAAGTGCCCAAGCGCTGCTCCACTGATTCAGATGTAATGAGTAGTTAATTTTCTTTTACATGAGAGCTGTCTTAGGAGCCCCTGAACTTTGGCCTTAGATTTTTACAGTTTTACCTAACAGATAACAGGAASAGCAACATAAAATTAAGTCAGTCTTTAAGATATGACGGCCAAATCCAGAACACAGAGCAACATACACAAAAATATTTGCAATAGATTTCCCCCAGGAAAAGTGCAAGTTAAGAGGGTGTGAAAAAAGACCCATCCACTTTCCATCGACTAAAGCAGAAGCCAAATAAATGTAACATTATTAACAATTAAGATCATGGTACAGAGATTTGCTTCTAGATTCAATACTTTGGCTATATTCAAATTTGGACAACATCCACCTACAATATTTAGCAGTGAAATTAGAGGTTACAAAAATATGTTTCATCAGGAATACCAACAGAGATGTTCTTTTAGCTCTTTACTAGAGAGCTAAACAAYTGAAAATTAAAAATGGGTATTTTAAAACACCTTTTATGCCCAACTTTCTTGGGGGAGGAGAGGAAGGGGGAGCAAAATTGCAATACAGGAAACTAGAATTTGCTTATTTGTGGTTATACTCTCCAGTTATCTCCAGTTTGAAGAATTAATTTGACCAAGTTGCACTAAAGAACCAACATATAAAGAATTCTGAAATGCAAATCCAGAATTTAAGCCACAACTCAGGCGATATGTTTAAAATGCAGATTTTTGGGAATAGCAATTTTTCCTATTAACAGTTCAAGCAAACTAAAAATAATGGCAATGCATTTTCCAAGAAGTAACAAAGGACAGCCAACAAATATAAACAATTRCTTTCAATAATGCAATAGTGGTTGCAAGAGACTTGCTTATATTTAACTAATAAACTTACTTGTTTTGCACAAAACAGGCAACTTCATATTTAAGGATGTACAACAACATTATGCTCTACACAATTCTAAAGTCCTTGAACTATGGTCATAACAAAGAAGAAAGCTTAAGGAGTCATTAAGAATAAGGGAGGTGCTTACCCACTGGATCTCTATGTTTTTTGACAGTCTATCAAGTCTTTCAAAATCTTCTTTATTTATCACACTTCCTCCTGAGCTTGTTCTCCAGCCATTTGTTTTCCAGTTGTCGACCCAACTTGTGATACCTGCACAAATGGAGTTTTACCCTAAATGACACTGTGGAAGAAGCCAGCATGAACCAAGCCAGAGTGAACAACCATTCAGAACAATCTTCCTCTATAAAGACAATAAATGCGTACAAAATCACGGGCAAACACAAGACAGAACTTTCTTGTCTAGCTCTCTACTTCAGGATTGTATTTTTGCAACATTACTTGAATATCTGGCAATATTTTCCTATACAGACATTTATTTTTTTAAAGACTAGGTAGACATTGCACAAAATCATCTCACAAACATCACTGAACTGAAATGAAAGGTTTTTCTGCTGGCCTCCTAATCTAAATGAGAGCTGAAAAGCTCTACTTATAGAGGTCAAAGACAGACAGACACAAAAACACACACACACACACACACACACACAAAATAAGAGCGATGTCCTATGGCTTCTGCATATTCAACAGGATATTTCAGGAAAATACATAAGCACACTATATTACATTTTTTATATATATAATCCTATTTCTGCATATCAAGATTTGTTGATATGTACCCCTTGTATACAAAACTAACTTGCATACAAAAAAGAGACTGCACTCAGATTCTTATTCTCCTCATTTATACCAAAGGGTAACTGGAATTTTATCCAACATAACAAGTTTTCCTCCTTTGTAACACCAGTTTTACAGAACAATAAATGCAAGGGACTTTTCTCCCACAGAGCAAACAACTGCAAAGATGTTTCTTCCCYGCATACTGCTTTGGACAACTTGTATTTTGGCACAAATTAAACAAGTGGATTCCACTGATTAGCATGTGACACCCAGCCGTGAGCATGAGGTCCCCATGAATAGRGGTTCTTCTATTTAATCCTCCCTTTAGTCTGTGCTAGAAACATTCTGAAAAACACATATCCTGCTCCTGCAGAAAATGCTATGCTCAAGTCTTTTAGGGAAAATAAGCTCCTCCTCTGGAAGATTTACGAAACAGTCTCTGAAACTCTGAACGTTTACTGTCCCCTCCTCTGCTGTGCTCTGTCCTCCTGTTTGTAGCTTATGTATCCCTGGTACTTTCCACTTAGCAACCTATTAAAAAGCTTCTTCCACACACAAGCTAGAGGAATTTGAAACAAGACAGCTTCAGCAAGTCTTTCCTTGGCCAGAAATTGGTTCTCCCTACATAATAACTTGGTGTCTTTTCCAAGGCATAACTAGTTAAGCTGGCATCAGATTGCTTCAAAACATATTTTACTTTCCTGCTATGTATAAGTCACCCGAATAAAGGAAAAAATCCATTCTTTCTTCCTGCTCCTCTATTTTCACAAATTAGGAGTTTTTAAAAGAGCAGAATACCTTTTTGTTTGGAGAAAAATAAAAGAGGTACAATTTTTAAGTCATTCAGTTACTTTGTTAGCAACATTCATGATTACATTCAATCATGGTAACGTTCAATGTTCGCACCTGTAAGAATTTAATCCTAGGATTAAGATGCTGACATTCCACAACAGAAGTGGGGAAAAAAAGTAAATTTTAGTTTTAGATGAAGAGTTCCACAAAGTTTTTGCTTAATAGTAAACTCAAATGCTCCAAAATCACCTATATAAACAAGTTATACAGGCATATCTTTTGTCAAAATGTGAAACAGAGTGAGATACTTATGTGTTTCAGCAGCATCACAGAAATGAAATCTGAGGCTGTAGGGAAAAGGAGAAGCAATATTTACAGATTGAAAGGAGAATCAGTTTTATTCAGACATTAAGTCTCACTACCTAGATGAAGGGGGATCTCTGGAAAATAAAAATACGTTCTCCACATCTTTGAATGCAGGTGAARCCTTAAACACAAACCGTGCATACACCTCCACACAGCCTGAAAGCTTGGAAGCACATTCTAGGTGTATGATGGTATAAAGACTTCAGGTTTGCCTATTAAGACAACCAGAGCTACTACGGCAACTTCTGAGTACTCTCCTGGTCATCTTTAGTAAAGCACAKAACAGCAACGTTTTTGCAGGCACCATCTATCACATTGACAACAGCTGAAACAATGTTACAGCAGATAACGGCAGAGGCAACTAAAGCATTTCTGTAATTACTTCATTCACCAAAGTAACCCCAACAATATTTTGGAAGTTTTTCCCCAAACAGTCATGAGCACTGAAGCAAGTTTGGCATTCTCTTCCTTATATGCCTCACTCCAGTTCCCAGCACATTCTGTGGCCCTTACATAATGAAGCTGTGCGTGCTGTGCGATTAAAAATCAGGAAAAATAAAATCATCAACTTACCATTAATAGTGAACTTGCTATCAGTGTAGATAATTAGTTTCTTGATGTTTTGACTCTTTGCTTGCTCTATTGCTTTGCAGGCTGCCTTAAGAATATTTCAACAGAATCACAGTTCAGAACAGGCTTTTGGACAGATACAGTCAAAATACCAAAAAATACCTATGCTAATACATMAGAATGACAGAGAATGCTATTGTAGTTTCTCCATCAGCAAGTACCAGCAAGCTTTAGCGCAGAGATTCCCCAAATTAAGTGGTCATCTGCATGGCAAAAACAAACAGAAAGCCACTTAAGTTTCATCAGCAGAGGAAGAAAGTTCTAATCTTCAATTCAGGAGTGCAGGAGCAGCTTTCTGCCCAAAAGATTAACTATGCAAGGGTCTAGCAACTGCACAGAAGGTTTTAGCCACTTAAGCTTAAGCTCTGGAGAGCAAGAGTTCACCCCAGCACTTAGCCATACCTAAAAGGTTTCTCTTTTTTGCTGCCAAGAAGTGTTTTAAAAGCTAGGAAAAGTTAAGTCTGTGTGGAGAGCTAAGMAGCTCTCCAGTGATAAGTCAGACACACCCCCATCACTTTGCCTGTCCCTCACTGAACGGAACTCCCCCTCTGCCCCAATGTTTATTTAAAAAAACAGAMCAGTTCCCCATTCTGTTTTACCTCCAAACACCCAATGCACGGCAGCAACAGTACCAGAGCTAGGATAATAATGGTGAGATTAAACTTGCTGCTGCCAATAGCAAAACATGAGATTAAATTTGCTGTTGCCAACCGCAGAAACGGAAATTACTCCTGTGAGCCCATGGCAGTTTGTCCTCCTTAGCTAAGAAAGGAAACCACTGATGACAAAAGCAATGAAATCTCCTATTAACCAGCATTAACAGCTCTCACTCTAAAATCTGAGACAAGCACGTTGCAAACACTGGACACACTGTAGAGATTTGAGAACCAGACTTTCTTAATGCAAGGTAAATAGTTATGATTGGCCTGATGACATCTGGAAAGTTCTCAAGATGGGAGTTATTACTCCTCCAAATCCAGTAAGGATCAACAAAACCTGAAGACGGGCATCTGTTTCAGGCCATAACTCTAACTGCATACTCCTCTCACGGCTCTGTAACTGGTTTCTGAAGGCTAGAGTCGGGACAGCTGTGAGCTCACCGTTCTGTTCCACAAACGGAGGCGTTYCATGATGTTTGCTACTTACATGTATTTCAGCTCTTTGATTAGTCTGCCGTCCAGGAAGCCTTTCACTGGTATTTCTGAGATCATGAAACAAATATGTCAGTTATTCAAAGCGTCCCTAGTAGTGCACAAATCACTGCTCTTCAGAAAAATATAAAGACAGGAGCTTTTTTTGATAACGGAAGAGGGATGGAGATTCTAGTTGTAGCTTAAGTCTAAAGAGTGCGACAAACATTTTTGGACCTACTGTCAAAAGGCAGTTACCTTTATTGCCTTCTGTGTACATCTAGAATTATTTTAAGGCTTTTTGTATCTACTGGATTATAACTTCATCCCCCCAAAAATGTTATTTCCAATTGATTTCTCTTACATTCTTATGTCCTAGAGAAGCTGATTTCTGTCATTCTTAGCAACTCATTCTCACAGTACTAAGAGGAGATTCAATAGTGGGGTTGCATTCTCAAAAGAAAGCTGCTGTTTTAAGTCAGACACAAAACAAAGATTAGTGTATGTCCCTTTTTAAAATGATTAAGTCATACAGTTACTTACAAAGGGTGGCCTGGTCCCCAGTAGACACCTATTCCAGCACGTGCCCTATTACGCCCATTACTTGAGCAGCAACCATCCGTATACACAACTGCAAAGTCACCTACAAAAGATAATCAGAAGTTCAAGTAGTTCTGCAAAGATGCAGCCCCAAAGCAACATAGAAAAGTCTGTATGTAGAGTAAGCCCCAAGACATCCTTCTACAAAGAGCGCTTCAAAGTGTTATCTGAGAAGCCATATAGTAAAGCATGACACCAGAAACTTGACTGCAGCTTCATCCACTCCACTGCAGCTCCCAAGCTGCAGCCTCAAACATCATGTCTGCCTGGAGCTCCATATTCTCACTACAGCTCCCTCTTTCTTCAGTCAAGACCAGGCTTACCAGCTACACCTGTATCTTCCCACCAGCTCTTTAATCAAGTTGGACATAAAACACATCTATACTGACCACACTAACCTACATGCAGAAACAACTGAAAGCAACTAATAWCATGTTGATAAAAAAGAAAGTGAAGATGTCTCAAATTTCCATTTTGAAAACAAACACTGTGACACTGGTGCATCCAATCTCATCAACTCTCTCTAAAAGTCCTTCGCTATTTACTCTTGTAATTATCAAGAACAGGAGSAACCTCCAAAAATAAAAATAACACAAATAATAAGAGAGCTCACCCATGTATGAAAATTGATCTTCACTGACCGTGGGCACTGTGCACGTTTCATCAGGTTTTATGCGTTTTGGGCCATGTTCCTCAGATGTAGACTGCTCATATGGCCTCTTGCACTGACTGCCACATAGGAAGTCACTTTCTGCCTCCCCTCTGCAGCTGGCATTTTCCTGTGTTATGGTTGCAGGACCTTGTGTCTCTTAAGACAGAGAAGAAAAGTCAAGTTATACATAAGWGTTCAGTTTTATTCTGAAAAACACTATTTAAGGAGTTAATGTTAAYGTTTCTCCTTAATAATCCAAACCTGCTACATTTGATGCTCTCCTACAGCACCCAAAAGTACCGTAGGAAAAACACACATGTAAACACAAGCCCTTCTTAGTTCTAAGTGAGATTCCAGTTAAGCCACATACGTTACAAGCCTTCATAAGGTAGAGACATGCTACAAGCAAGACCCTGCAGGTCTTTAGAGGGCTGTTTTCATTGCCCATGCACATTCACAGCTCTGCCGGGATGCCAAGGCCACCGCTGCGCCCTGGTAGAAGCAAACGCATTGAAGCTGCAACAGGCGGGTGCCGCCACCCCCGCAGCTGCGAACAAGCCGGAGGAGCGGAGGCAGCCGCGCCGGCAGCCCCCTCCCTACCCGCTTCCCCCGGTAACCGGCAGCGGGGCGGAGGCGACGGGAAGGGAGGAGGCGCTACCTGCGGGCCGCGGCGGCAGCGCCGCGGGGCCGGCGCCCACGAAGGCCCAGGCCTCCTTCTCGGTGGCGAATTTCTTGAAGCTGGCGGCGGGGAACCTGTTCACCTGCTCCTGACACTCCGCCCTGCAACACAGGCGGCGGGTGAGCGGCGGGCAGCGGCTGCCACTCCCGCGCGGCCCCGGTGGCGGCGGCCCGAGCCCTCCCTTACCACGTGCGGAAGACGCCCGTGCGCCGTCCGCGGCGCACCGCGTAGAACATGGCGCCGCCCCGGGAGCCAAGGCACGCRCGGGCAAGCACCGCGACCAGCCACCGCAACATGGCGCGGGGCCGCGGCCGCCGCCATGCGCGCCCCGCCCCGCGGCACGCCCCCGCCCGCCCCGCCGCCAACTGCGCACGCGCACCCCACCCCTGCCCCCGCAGCGCATGCGCGTTGCGGCTCCCACCGCGGCGACGCAGCTCCGCGTCCGCCTGCGCATGCGCGATGGCGGCTCCCGCCTGCTGCGCAGAGATAACCGACCGCGCGTACGGTGTCACAGCGCTCCGCTACGGGTCGCGAGCGGGGCCAAACTGCCCGGAAAAGCGGTTTTCGTCGCGGACGCGACGCAGCAGAAGTATTGGAAATTGGGTGTTAGGCTCCGCAAATGCAGGAGATTTGCAGGCGGATTTCAAGGGCTTTTCCTAAAATAAAAAGAAAAAAACAGAATCTTTTTGAATTGCTTCATGGKCTTGTATCATATGTTGGGAGGAGTGACATAAACACTAGAGCTAAAAGTGCTTTTAGTGTCAAGTGAGAGCCTTATATATCAAGTGGTTGTAACTGCAGAGGCTTTAAGGAAAGCACTGGAGACCACAAAAGTTGAAAAAAAAAGATTAATATTTTTTATTTTAAAATATGACTAAATTTATGTTAAAATATAACTAAATTAACCTTTGCTTGGGGGAGGAAATGATGTATGATATTGTGGAAGTTTACACAACCTGCTCATTGTGGAAGCCTGAGGATCGGCATGATATATTTAAGGCCTGGCGCACAAAACAGTGTTCACATTTAAGAAACTTATGCAATATTAAGTGCTGAATATCGTATATAAATATTAAAGCCATGTAGCAGATCCCAGCGAGGACAACTGCAGAGACCAGGAAACTCGCATCACTGTAAYGCTCAGTTTAGGGTGGAAAGTGTCCAGTTGTGGCATTTAGGCTGCTTTTGTGGGTGCAGCTGGGGAGAATTTCACTGTCTTTCTGCCCAATTCTTCTCCGCATTGTACCCTTCGTCCAAAAGGAAAAGCCCTGCAGGAGGCTTTACCTCTGGCTGCAAATAAAACCCAGTGCGTAGGGTGAAGGATCAGATCCTTGGTTATTGAAACTTCTATGAAAAAACTCTATGAAATCCCACCAATGTCCTCTGTTAAAGTTCTTTCCTGCCTATCCAAGTAATGATGTTGTTCCTGCACTGAGCTCCAATGGTTCTTAGTCCCTAATGAGTCATTAAAACGAATGGAGCATCACCCAAGAACAAATGTTCACCTAGAACTTGCTGGAAAATCCTTCGTCCCCATTTAGCCTTCTCATCTTGAAAAACGTTTGAGGAAGGATCATCGTTGACAGGAGATGTAAAAGTCAATATATTTAGTGCATCAAAAGGCCTGGGGCTCAAGGTCATTGAGCTGGTTCTCTCAGCACATCCCCCTGTTTAAATCAAGGAGAGCGTGTTCCAGATGAGCTCCTCATAGCAGTGGCCTCTGAAATAATGAGCGCTACCTTGCCCAGGGATATTAAAAGTTAACGCATTGATTTGTAGYGTCCGTGTGCATCCCCTGACAGTGCAATACATCAGGCTTCAAAGAACCCTGTGTATCTCAGGTCGGAACAGATGTTCGGCCCCCTCTGCCATTCCGTGACCTTGGGGAGCTCAGTGTGGGACGCAGCGAGGGCTCTGCAGTGCGAGTGGCTGCCGCGGGCATGTGGCCTCCATGTTGCCTGCAGCTCCTCCTGCCTGCCCTGGGCACTGTCACCTCCCGGTAGAGAAAGGGTGAGAGTTTGGTGCCTAAAATGTCCCAGCTTGGCTTGTGGTAGGAGCGCAGGACAGGAGGGCAGTGTGCCCTGGTGGCCAAGAAGGCCAATGGGATCCTGGCTGCATCAGGAGSAGTGTTGCCAGCAGGTCAAGGGAGGGGATCCTGCCCCTCTGCTCAGCTCCGGTGAGRCCGCACCTGGAGTATTGGGGGCAGTTCTGGGCTCCCCAGTATAAGACAGATGTGGATCTTCTAGAGAGGGTCCAGGGGAGAGCAACAAAGATGATTAAGGGACTGGAGCATCTCTCGTATGAGGAAAGACTAAGCAAGGTGGACCTGTTTCGCCTGGAGAAGAGAAGGCCGAGAGGGGATCTGATCAATATGTGTAAATATTCACCCTGAAGGGTGAATGTAAAGAAGATGGGGCCAAACTCTTCTCAGTGGTGGCCAGTGACAGGACAAGGGGTAATGGGTACAAGCTGAAACACAGGAGGTTTCATTCCTATATAAGGAAGAACRTYTTCACTGTGAGGGTGACAGAGCCCTGGCACAGGCTGCCCAGRGAGGTTGTGGAGTCTCCTTCTCTGGCGATCTTCCAAACCCGCCTGGACCCCACCCTGTGCCCCGTGCTCTGGGTGTCCCTGCTGGAGCAGGGGGGTTGGACTGGATGRTCTCTAGAGGTCCCTTCCAACCTCAACTGTCCTGTGATTCTGTGTGAGAGCAGAGCACAGATGCACCAGCCTCCAGCAGGCGCCCAGCACTGYAAGATGCTGCGTTTTCAGCGAGCAGATTCCCTTGTAGCTGCAGTTCCAGGGCGCTGAAACACAGCCAGCCTCACGGTGACAAAGYGGTAGACCATCGTAATGGGATTTACAAGGGCAGCTTCTTAACATGCCAAGAATGTGAAACACTTGGATATTAATTTTGCCTTCTGTTGCAAGAGCAGACATAAGTTCAGCGTTGCCAGGCTTATCAGTTGGATGACACTTCTCTTATCCAAATTAAAGARCCTACTTATTTGACAGACCTTGGTGGAATAGAGAAACCATTTCCTCAGAGCTCTATCAGAATATAATTGCTGCGTTTTTCTTGCTTCTTCCAATTAATTTGTGAGCCTTCATATTACTACTTACAAAAAAATGCTTACTTCTGATTTTCTCAGATCAAGATTATTTACATTAATTATCTTGGTAAAGGTTTCCACTAAGACTCTCAGGCTTTTCACTACCTCATGCTTGTGACATTTTGTATATTACTGCCCTGGGTTAGCTTTTCTTTTAATTATGGCTTTCTATAGCAGATGGGTTTCTCATTCCTTACAAGTTTACACATTTATATTACTCGTAGTCTCCTTTCAGCAAGATGTAATAAAAGAGCAACCAGCAGTAAGTGATGGGGAGCCAAAGGACCTCCTATTACACTCATTAATTCTTGGGCTGAACAGACAGATTCACACACCCTATTTATATGCAAGGACCGAACAGTAACTCTCCTGCTGTCATGTCCAACGTGCAGGCTCCCAGACAGGGAAAAATGACCACAATACACCGAATACCATCCATGTCACCTTGCTGCTTTTCCTGATAGCCCCGCTGCATATAGTCCTGTAATCATTCCTTTAGTTCAGAATTTCCCGACTTTCCCTGTCACTAACATTTTCATTGCTTTTGTGGTAGCACAGCAAGGTCTCGAAGGGCACGTGACAGCGACGTGTCTGCTGCTATTCCACCTAGCACTGCTGGGCTACGCGCTGCCTGTTGCTCTTTCACAGCACTTCTCCCCTTGCTGCTGCATCATTAGTGGATTGGTGGAATTTTCCAGTGAGATCAGGGCATGCAGGACCTTTCTGCTCCAYAGCACGTTAGTTTTGTGGGTGGCAAAATTCACTGAGCGAAACATTTAGTCCCTACCTGAATGTGGAAGGGTCTCTCCTCGTTTGAATACGGAATAATTGAAATGTATATATGGATAGGGCTATAAGTGGGCTTCATCATTGATTTAGCAGTTATTGCCACAGATACACCTGAGTGTATGTATAGCTATCTTAGAATGAGCTGATTATATATATATTTWTATATATATATATGCACACACACACACACACAGCATTTTTTTTTCAAATCAAATCCTGCACAAATGCTTGTATTACCACAGTGTAGATATTGGGAATGWGTAGTTAGGGAAAACGGGAGGAGAGCAGGTCCCTGGGTTTTGGTGGCAGCATGGTGGCACTGTGTTGAATGGAAGTGGTCATTTACCTGTGGCCTGAGAATAAATGGTTTTGTCAACACTCTCTGCTRTAAATTCATCCATGTTTTACTGAAYCATTTTTTAATTAAAGTGGTGTTGGCCACATAAACTTTGAAAGCAAAATGTAACGTGACCTRTATCAAGCAAGTAACTCCTGCTTCAAAACGAGCTTTTAGGTGGATGGGTCACTAGGGAGTCACTTCATCTAGTGTTCCCTACAGGTATAAATTATATCATCATTTCATACCTTGCTTTAAAATAAAATTAAAAAAAAAAAAAAAAGGAGGAAAAGGGAAGTATTGTATCTTCCTGCTTCTCAAACTGCCTTCACAGAACTACGTTCATACAGAACAAAACTCTTGTCAATGTTTCAGTGCAAAGCAGGCATCAGGGTAATGATGTGGCCTCTTTTAAAGATCACATGTCCACAATGACTCTTAAAAACCTGTCAGGCACTTTTGAAATGAGGCACTATCTATTCAATAAATTCAACAGGCTGCATCCCTCTCCTAGGTCACAGTGGGTGCTTGAATGGAAGCTCCTCTTTACACCTCATTCTCTCATTTTTCTTATGTAACAGCAGTCAGATCTATTCAGTAGCACTAAAATCATGGATTTGYGAAGCCGCAGGTAGTCACAGTATTTCTTTATTCCTTCATTACTGTCTCCAGTGGCTCAATTTGGATCCCTCTGCATGCCATCCATTCTTTCTCCCTGTTACGTGGTGACGTCCCCCTTGGGTACCCAAGTTCCCCCACACAGGGATTGTGCTCCGTGCGGGATGCACAGCCTGGCACTTTTCACACCTGATTCAAGATGCAGGTCCTGTGTTACACAACCAGGGTGCCTGCTGTTTTTAGCAGAACTGGGGCGCTAATGGTGCTGTTGGCCGACAGCACCGCTCTTGGGGCACCCCCAGTGGTGAGAACACGTGGGGCCTGCGCCCCTGGCTCCCTGGGGGAGTCCCTGCGGGCGGCCCAGTGCTGCTGCCCGGCGCGGTTCATCAAGCCAGCGGCCACACACTGAAGCACTG